ATTTTTTTTATTTTTTTTTTTCAAACATCACGATGGTCTATAATTTTTTCCCCAATTTATTTTATATTTATTTTTGTGGTTAATAAATGAAATTTATTTATTATAATTTTGTTATGGCACTTTTTATTATGAAGTTGTGAAAGGAAAGTTCAAGTATAGATTGCAATTGAATTGAATTATCTTAAATATTAAAAGAAACTTTGTTAAATCAATTAAGTTTTGTATAGCAGAAAAATGTTAAAAATGTTTTGAGATACTCTGGATTTAACGCAAATAAATATGCTTTAAAAATAATATCAGCATTAATATCAAAAACATTTTTTTAGATTCTGATGTAAAAATAATATTATAAAACGAAATAGTTTTCTAAGAATTTTAATTAAAAATCATTATCTTAGCTATTATTGTATTTCTTAAACAATAACTAACAGCGCTATTCTGAAAATATTATCAGTGACAAAGTTCATAACAGAAGTAGTCATAAAAATATGACTTTTTTATGGATGATAAAAAGTCTACTACTGACTATTTAATAACAAACGTAGTCATAAAATTTGGAATTTCTGTGGATGGTATTCAGCTCAAACGGACACAATGAAGAATATATTCTTACTCACCATAGCATTGTACTTTTATTTGTACACATATATATGTACCACAATACTTATATACATGTCGAAGAAAAAAAACATACATTCGAACAAAACATTCGAACATATAAGTCAAGTACGGCTTTAGGTCAGTCAGCAAATGAACACCGACTCTAAGCTTCAAAATTTAGCAGGGTGCGATTTCAACTTTTGGTATTTGCCGCCTTAAAAAAATCTTTCCGGATAATTTAATACAAGAAATATTTCTAAAAAAACCACTGCTGATGGATATACTAGGTTCAGTAGGCCAAAAATTCAATTAAATAAAAATTAATATAAATTTTGTTGTTATAATTCATCAATGTTCGAAAACTCTTAAAAATATGTATAATCATAATACTATAAACATTTTGGTTATAACCATTTAAATATTATATATATATTATTTGTAACCAATAATTATTATTATTATTAGTATATTTATATTATTATTGGTTCACTTTTTACTAAAATTTCAAACAAATTTGTTTGATTGAAATATATTAAATTTGGTTTAATATATTGTTTGGAACTGCCATTAGATTCGAACTCAAACCCCTCCGTGATTTGTTAAAGTGGACTGAATCCTTTTCAGATAGTTTTCGATAACTTGTGAATGCAACTTTAACTTGACGAATATTAATTTGTAAAAAGTCGAATGTTTAGTAATTATCCCACAAAAAAGTACTCCACGATATATTACAGTGTTCTGAAACCTTTCCAGGTATTTTCTGATGACATGTCGATACATGCAAAGCCAAAACAAAATATATTATTTGTCTCCTAGCACCACATTCTGTTGAAACCACATATCTTTCACAAATATATATTTAATATCACACCAAAAAAAAAGTGTAATCATGTAGATGTAACAATCAAAATTGTTGGTTTATATAATCTTACACAATCCATCAAATCTTACTGTAGTCATCAGCATTCGTGCAAAAATACGGGTCTGTTGGAACTCTAGATCCAATGCTAAACCATTCTGTGAGAGAGTATATCCTTCTAACTTTTGTGGAAATCAAAACAATGTAATCGTATTATATAGAAATACTTCATATTTTTTATAAAACCTTGAAATTTTCAAAACCAATACTTTAAATTAAATGACAAATATATCATGTGGTTTCTTAAGATAAAATTATTGATGTAGAATTCAGAAGACCGTTAGCTTTATATTCCTTTAATTTTCTCTTCAAATGTTAAGTTGTTAAAGTTTCGATATACATTGTGACCGAAAAGTTTCCGGAAATTTTAAATAAAACGCAAAATTCTTAATCTTCATCAATATTTATTTTATCTCCTTCAAAATATGCTCCATTAGAAGCGATACACAAATGCCAACGTTTCTTCCAATCATCAAAACATTTTTTATAGGCGCTTTCCGGTATGGCTTTGAGTTCCCTCTGCGAATTCTGTTTTACGTCTTCTATGGATTCAAAACGCGTTCCTCTGAGTGGTAATTTGAGTTTGGGAAACAGGAAAAAGTCCCACGGTGCAAGATCAGGTGAATACGGTGGCTGTTCGATGGTATTTATTGAATGTTTGGCCTTAAAATCGTTGATAATGTTGAACAAATTGAGGTGAATCGGAACAAGCCGGGCGTTGACACGTCGCATACACAAATTGTCCACCAAAATCAAACGAGCCATCTCACGACCGATGCCTAGCTCTCGTGCTATCTCTCTAACACTCACATGAGGATTTTTGAACACGATTTCCTTTGCCTTTTCAATGTTTTCGTCGGTGGTAGAGGTCGAAGGTCGTCCAGAACGCGGCATGTCTTCGACGGTCGTACGACAGTCCTGAAAGGCTTTGTACCACTCATAAACTTGAGTTTTCGATAAAACTGATTCCCCATAAGCCTTTTGTAGCATTCGCAACGATTCTGCACACGAAATTTCGTTCGAAAAACAAAATTTGATGCAAACTCTTTGTTCAATATTTTTTTCCATTGTTTTTTTCGCAACGCACTACTGAGGTGAACTGGTTTCAACAGCTGCCGTAAACGAACTGTCCGAC